GCGGCCCCCCCGCCCCCCCCCCCCCCCCCCCCCCCCCCCCCCCCCCCCCGCCCCCCCCCCCCCCCCCCCCCCCCCCAGACAGAGAGTACGTGATACATGATATACTATAATATGTAACTTCAACATGCCCATCATCTCATACAACCTCATACGCCACGCTATTTTACTAATTAATACATAAAAACTCCAGGTATTTCACATACATTCGTTCATATTGCACTTCAATATAACCAACCATAAGCCCACCCCCCTTAGAAATCGCTTGCCCGTTCCCTCATCCCGTTATTGCTATAATCATCATCTTCGGGAGCTGCTCCTCCTACGATATTCCACGTCCCTATACTGCGCGCTACTCCTCCTCTCGCTGCTCCTACGGCTATAACCCCTGCTCCCCCGCCTAGGCGGCGTCTGTTCCTCCAACACTATAATCTCGTCGTCGCCATCGCTACGTACCGGAGCAGGTCGTGGGCGACTAATACTTCTCGACCGTGACCGTGATCGTGGCCGGGACCGGGACCGGTCGTGTTCCTCCAGCACGACAATCTGGTCGACCTCCGGTACACGGGCAGGAGATGAGGATGGAGAGCGGCGAACAGTGCGGTCGCGCCGGATCTCGACGGTCTCCTTCCGCCGGTGCGGCGAGTACTGCTGCGACGCTCGCGAGTTGTGGCTGTGCCGGTGACGGCGCACCCGCGGTCGCGAGCGGTACGACACTACGGACGAGGAGCCACCCACTCCGCTTACGGAACCCTCCTCGAGGTGAGGCGCCGGTGATCCCAAGTTCACGCACCAGTATATTATCCACAACAGGAGTATGAATCCTGCAACGGAACCCAAGACTATGCCGGCGACCGCACCGGGGGACGGGCCGTTTGCAGTCCGGCCGTACCCCTCAGGGACCGTGCTCACATCCGTCGCTAGTCGGGGGAGGAGCGTGCGGGAGGCAAAGTCGTGGATTTTCTGTGCAAGGTTTAACGTCGACGTAGGTGTGACTGTCGAAGGTGATGATTTGGATGCCAGATTTGAGAGCATATCACGCGCGAAGCTGCGCGAAGAGTCTAATGGCGGCATGGCGAACTTGATTCCGAGGACGATGCCAACCGAAGTAGATGAAGGAGAAAGCACAAAACAATTGATTGGGCTCTGTGGTTATGGTTGTGATAATGGTTGATAATGGTACGATGGTGCTCGGTTTGCCCTGGTAACGTAGAAATCGCGCGCGAGACTCTTGCAACAGTCTTAACGAAACTCACGATGCCATCGTTGACACTTAATCCAAAATAAAGTGCGCGCTTGCATGCGAAAACGAATTAAGTGGATGAAACGATCGTCTACTGTATGTACAACGCACAAGGCTGGGGAATACTTGAGTGGAAAGAAACTAAGGCGCCAACATCGCGTTGTATCCGTCGCGACCCACGTAAGGTTTGATCTAATCACCACTGATAGCAACCCTAGGTGGCTGGGCCGGAATCCGGATGTTGCTACCGCAATTTCGATCGCCCTATGTATTGTACATCCATACAGCCTAAGCCCGGATTTTCGATGTCCCACCACCTGCGATCCCCACCTGTCTTATCTTATCGCTATTTGCACTAGTGTACATGTATGTAGTATATTACATACCTACATGTATGTATCTATACGTAAGTCGTCCCGTAGTGTATCATTGGCACTGGGAATATTTCCATCTAGTGGCTGGCGTTTTTGCAGATGCAAAATCCAATATCACATCTAGTCCCCTGGCGCATCTTATACAACGGATTTGCCATGCTTGGAAAGTGCGATTATTCGTAAACAATTGGCTAGGGACGGCCCCGGTCCCCCGCCCCCGCCGCCGATACGCAACCGAGAATGCGCTCCTGCGTCAGGTCTCCTGCTGATGTCCGCTTTGTGTGGTCGACAATAATCCCCTCTCTCTAGATTACCTTATCATTTACTGACAACCACTAGTCGGGCGACAAATGGTAATGCAGATCCGCTTGAGAAAAGAAATTTTCTGTAACACGCTCCCTCAGCGTTCGTCCTACTCTCTGGAGAGGGGATATACTCCTTCGAAACAGGAACGCGATGCATATAAACAATTAAGTAAAGGATAAAAATCTCTATAAATTCAACGAGAGAAGACATTGCATTATTCTCATAGCAATCGACTCATCAGGCTAGTCTGTCACCTGATAGCGTGACGCGATTCAACCACGGTCAAGTACCTAATGACAGTAAGCGTTGATATAGGAATTATAGTGTACCTACCTTAGGTATGTATGTAGGAATTAGCGTACCTAAGGGACTGTTTTATAAGTACATGTACTAAGGTACCTAACAGATAGTTACATGCACCTAGGTAGATACTTAGTCTCCACCATTCTTATAAGTCCTCCAACTGCGGCTGTGGATAGCATCTGGAATTCGACGGCTGGCGAATATTCCGTCCTAGGAGTCACGATAATAGGTAACATGCATGTCTCAATCCGATCTAGGATTCTGAGATACACAGTGCTATCCCTCCCGCGGGATTTGCCTAGCTATCGGCTATCGGGCATGCTTCTGGAATCGGGCAGCTCCTTTAAGAAGGTCTTCAACCTCGGAGTTCAATTTTGGGTTAAACCCTTATAAGTTTGCAGTCTGGTTTTACTCGAGATCGTACTAGACGAAGAATCAACAACGGTTATTAAACCCAACATAATCTCCAGACGATCCCCAAGCATAGATTGTGACTCGGTCTCTATACTAGTAAATAGCCTCTTATACTATTACTCAACCCCTTGTTGCGATGGCCGAAGAGCTGAAACCCTATAGATACCTCGTCGACGGAATGTCTGGAGACTTGAAGACCTACCGTGGCAGCTGCCACTGCGGCGCCTATGTCTATGAAGCCAAGATGCCTCATGTCTTCAAGGTGCTCGAGTGCAACTGCAGTTCGTGCTATAAGAAGGGCGCTTTGTGGGTTGTTCCTGAGCCGGGAAACATCCGCTTCATCAAAGGCGACCATAATACCCTAGCAAATTATACCTTCGGAGAGAAAACCATTAACCATAAGGCTCGTACAATTTTACGATTTTGGTTTGTATTGCTCTCGTTAGGCTGACGTGAGGGGGAACTAGTTCTGCCCCAACTGTGGAGTTCAGCTTTTGTTTGTCGGTGACGCCGCGCTTCCGAAGCCCGGTGAGGAACCTAGGATGGGAGCCAATGTAAGTGATACGCATCTCTTCGGAGACACTTAAGAGAGCGAAGCTTACAAATGGCTGATTCGCCCTTAGGTTCGATCGTTCCAGCATGGTCAAGGTGTCGACGTATGGAATATACTAAAGTTCTAGTGAGTTGTTCATGTCCACCTCGGTCCTCAAAGCGCGGACGTTGACAGGTCATTTCTCGCCAATCTCTAGTGCGGATAACAAAGAGTTCAGGGGCCCTTATAAGGCACCTAAGTTCACAGGACCAGAGCCGAAAGCCGTGATAGAAGGCGGGAAGGTATACACTGGTAGCTGCCATTGCGGTGCAGTCAGGGTGGCATTGAAATCAAAGCCTCTCGATAAGACCTCCACGGAACGCATTATAGAATGTAACTGCAGTATATGCAATAGGGTAAGCATTGATATCGCCAAAACTTCTAGAGACCCAGGGCTAACTTGCTATAGATGGGTTACGTATGGCTCTATCCTAAGAAAGAGCAGTTCGAGATTGAAGGTGAAGAAAATCTCGCGTACTATAAATTTGGTTCTGAGCTCGTCGAGAAGTCTTTTTGCAAAACATGTGGAATACCGGTTCATAACAACATGCCACCGATCTCCGACGAGGTGTTCAACAAGCTACCCGAAGGCCAGCGAGCGTTCATCAGGGGAGGGTTAGCACCAATTAACCTGAGGGTCTTCAACGACTTAGATGTCGGCAACTTAAACGTGAAACAGGTCGATGGCTACAATCGTCCGCCGCTCTATGTTGAGCCATAAAACCCCAAAGTTGCGCCTAAAGTTGCGAATGAAGATCGAGATTGGGTGGTAGTAACGGGGTATATCGTTTTCTATATTCACTTGTATCGAAGCTTTATCTCCACTCAAATCTAGGCCAGCATAATGCAGGGTCCGGTTCGTGGTGAATTCGCAGTTGTTCTTCGATGCAGAATAGAGTGTCGAAGGCACTAAAAAGCGTATCATTGTATCTCGTTCTCGAAATTGCCATTGTTATGGCCAAGTTTATATCGTGACTTGTCCCAGCTAGGATTTCCGTCGTCATCGAAGTCGCCCCATTGGAAGAATGAGCAATTCTCTTTACCAGGTACATTTCCGCCGTGACACATCCAGAAATATTTTCCTTGGTTTTCTTTCTTCTTTTGAACGACCCTTAGTATGGCGGGAATGCCACATTTGCATCTCGGAGTAAATTTTGCGTGGAAGCTTGCCTTGTAATCCCGGTATGTGATATTGATCCTCCGGTTGCCTGCAATAGGGTGAGGATCAATCGCTTGGGCCGTGGCGATACAATGTTTCCATTCCTCTTGCATCTCAGCATGCATAACCAAGAGAGAATTATGTGGAAGGTGTATAGATATTTGTCCTTCAGCGTCCGGATCATCCGTAGGGCTAGTATCAGAGTCTTTTGGCATGATCCGTCTAACACGAAATTCTCTTGCCACACCTAAGGAAAGTGAGCCTATTACAGCCCGCGGACCCAAGTACGTTAGTTGATCGCTATGATAGCCAACGCTCTCCTGAGGCCCATTGTAACAATTGACGAAGGCACAATTCGGTGACCATGGATCTGGAGACTGGTACTTCAGCTTTCGTCCGCCGGGGTAGCGAGTCTTGATACGGGTTTGAATTTCTCTATTTACCGCTTCTTGAACCTTTGGGCGAACATGCAAAAGTTGAGGGGTGATAGATCGTACGTCCGTCAATCGGGCCCCGTTGTAGAAGTAATCATGTTTCTGAGTGTTAATTTCGGCTTCCGTCCCGACGTAGAAACTAGATGTATGTGGGCTCTGGACCACGTTATCAAATAATTTGAATGTGATTTTATCGAACGAACTAGATTCGCTTAACATTTCTTTAAGAAGCTCGTTGGCCTCATCTGACGGTAGAAAATTATGAATGATACTGCAAGGTGTATGCTCGGCTACATCCTCAGGATCATACAAGTGAAGCGTCGTCCCTTTCTTAGGAATGGTTCTCGCTTTCTTCGGTGACATAGGTCGTTCTCTAGTTGAAGACTTGGACGCAAATAACCTAAGTGAAGACTGATAACCAACAGCACTGTTTTTCTTCTTCTTTGGCGATGTTGATCGATCCTCAGCTAGAGAAGCGGAAGCAGCTCGAACAGAACCGTCATGCTCTAAGAGGGATTCCAGTAAGGCTTCCTGGCTGATATTAGAGTGCAATGACGAGAGAATTGCCAGTTTCACGTCCGTCGATTCATTATCATCGACTATAAATGAGTCTTCCACAGCGGATGACTTTCGCTTGGTTCCTTTTAAAAATGCGTCCATGATATGAGTTGTAAGGTAGAATGTAAAATCTCCAATAGAAGACGTGTCACGTCATTTTTCATGTTTATTTCACCTTTCATATTCCTTGAGGGCGATGAGAATTCTAAGAAACATTGTGCTCAGATGGCGAGATGTATACATTAGATTTCTCAGTCTTAGCTTCAAATTAGCTTCAAATGTTCGTTGCCTATGTAAAGACGGCAACATTGAATAATGAAAGTGGAAATTGCCTGGTAATTCAGTGAAGGTGGTACCTACCTTAGGTACTCCCATTGTCTACTACCTACCTACATATAACCCCACACAGGTACCTGACATATGTACCTAGGTACCTACCATAAAGCCGAGGCCCCACGTCTTGGCTTCTAACTCATCGTCATTCTTCAGCTGTCAATCTTCAACTAGGTACATTTAGCTACATACCTCTTATAATATACCTTATGCGCCAGCAAGTCTGAGCTTGTGCTCTTCATACAAGCAACATGGCCGCTATGTTGGAGTTCCGCACACCCGGCTGGAATCCTTACGCCGTCAAATACTCACCATACTACGATTCACGAATCGCTGTCGCATCCGCAGCGAATTACGGCATTGTAGGAAACGGCCGCGTATTCTGCTTGGGATTGGGACCGCAAGGCGTCCAGATTGAGAAGACGTGAGCGACTGCAAGTACATTTATAGCTTGACACAACACACTAAGTCTCTTGTCCAGCTTCGATACCAACGACGCCCAGTACGACCTCGCCTGGTCTGAGATCAACGAGAACCAGCTACTGGTCGCATGCGGTGATGGCTCTATCAAGCTCTACGATATGAATGTCAATGAGTTCCCCGTAATGAACTTCCATGAGCATAAGCGGGAGACATTCTCGGTAGCATGGAGCCCCGTTACTAAAGATACCTTTGCCTCTAGCTCGTGGGATGGAACGATAAAGATTGTACGTATCCCCTTAGGCATATGTCAAGTAGCACTAGACATTCTAAACAGCATTGAGTAGTGGTCGCCAGCAAGAAAGGAATCCATCAAAACGCTTCCCGTCGGAAATTGTACTTATAGCACATCGTACTGTCCATCTAATCCAAATATCATCTCCGCAGTGTCGACGGATTCACACTTACGCATATTCGATCTCCGAACGCCAGTCAGCGCTCAATATCACTTAACAACAAAGATTCCAGTTCACATCCCCTCTCCTGTCCCTTCCCTCCAGGGGCCAATTCCTCCTGCTGTACCGGGGGAAATATTGACCCACGACTGGAATAAATACAATCACACAGTGATCGCGACGGGAGGCGTAGACAAGGTAATACGGACGTTTGATATTAGGCATCCTTCAGCAGGGCCTGCATCTGTAATGTTAGGCCACGACTACGCTGTTCGGAGGCTAGCATGGAGCCCACATGCCAGCGATATCTTGATCAGCGCGAGTTACGACATGACAGTGCGTTTATGGACAGACGGGTCGTCAATGCCAACCCAGCAGGAGTCTCCAGTCCAGGCCGGAGTCCAGCTTGGTATTATGAACAGGCATACGGAATTTGTAACGGGCGTCGATTGGTGTTTATTTGGCGTTGGTGGTTGGGTTGCAACTGTGGGATGGGATGAAAGATTGCTGTTGTGGGATGCGAATAGGCTATTACAGGGGCAGGCATGATACCGACGTATTATCATTGGTGGCGGGAAAAGACACGGCGTTAGCTATATAATGGGAATTTGCATTGGGGGCGTTTAAGGAGATTGTCATTGATACTGACGATATTGGATATACTTAAGATATATTGCATAGGTAGTTACCTGTAAGCTAAATTGAACTGCCTGTGCTTGTATACCTCTCTAATATGTTCCTAGATACGATAAAGGATTCTATTGCAAATTAATGCTAACTTAGGCTTACTATGTGCCTATTTAACAGCCATTTAACTTATATACCTTAGGTAGGTAGGATAATTCTACACAAAACACATACCTCAATATTATACCACTTACTATTAATGGCATAGCTTCATAATATTTAGCATTACTTAACTTACATATACCCAATCTACCTTTAGCTGTTGTATAGATGGTTGAACTTCATTCATGACCAAAGCATGATAGGTATCGCTGGGCATTAAGAGCTTACCCACCGCTTTACAAGCAGCACATCATTAATAAATTACCAAGTTTAATCCTTCTTGAGAACACCGATTCTCTTTGCCGGGATTATATATAAGCCAATCAGCCTGATATATAAAGGCATTCTCATACTCCCACAATATGTAGTTATTTCGTCTTTATGTGACTACCTAACTAAACTACCGACCTAGACCCTACAATTCTAAATTCAATCTGGTGGATGCTACGATACTAAATCTCTCATATACTTAAACTAAGTTGGAAAATCTTAGGGTAGACGTGACAGCTGCGTAGTTTGGGGGACTATAGTACTTTCAGTACCTAAGGTAGTCTCCGCAATATGAAATTTAGGTACGACGAAAAATGACATCCGTGGAAGTTGGAAAACCGCGCAATATTTAAACGTGAAGTGTACTCCTACTCTTGCTTTAAGCCGTGTCAATATGCAAATCAGAGAGTCTAGAAAAATGCGGAACACACCGGTCGTAGTTCTTCCAAGTGGTTTACTACTATAACAGATGCTGTTAAGGCGGTCAAGTTAAATCGAATACGAAAGGGAAGTTGGCGGTATAGCCACATATCACAAGGGTAATATGACGCTTCATAGGCTTCGTATTTTTTTTCCTGTCGTTACGAGTCGTCTTACACTATAGTACAAATAGTCGAGATTTCCGTGCCGTGCGGCCCCCTTTTCCAGTGACCGCCCGACGCCTTGAATTGTTCCGTGAAACCAAGCAAGACAACCTTGACTCCGATTGAGGCCCCCTCCCATAAGTGTAGATCTATCGATAAGACGTAGTTCCAGCCCATGAGTCCTTGCACGTCATCGGTCCTAAGCCGTGTGTCGGCGGGCTCGTGCGGATCTATATCCTCATACATAGGTGTCTACCTAGGAAGGGGAGTTTGCTTCCGAAGCAGCATAGTACATTAGAAAATTAAGCACAAGATAACGAATCTTGAGAAATCAACTGTCACTCCCATTATAGGGAGAGGTCGCGAGTCTCCTAGAAGGATGCTCGAGAAGGTTGTCTTCCGCGAGACTCATAATCTGAACTTACGCGGCGGGCAAACGGGTCACCTCCTCCACGACGATCTCTAGAGTTGAATCTGGAGCCTGAGTCAGAACCGCCACCTCGGCCACCATTCGAACTGAAACCACCACCACCACCACGTCGGTCATTTGAGTTGAACCCACCACCTCGACCACCATATGAGCTGAATCCACCACCTTGTCGGTCATTCGAGAACCCACCACCACGTCGGTCATTTGAGTTGAACCCACCACCTCGACCACCATACGAGCCGAATCCACCACCTCGTCGATCGTCCGACTCTCTTTCATAGTTATCGAACCCGAGTCTGATACCCGGTATTCTGTCTAAGCCGCGGTTCCTGGCCGAGGTTGGGGTAATGGCGGGTGTCTCTTCCCAACCAAGCCCAACTTTACACCAATTATTAAGGAGCCGGACGCAATCCCCGACGTCCAAATTTCTTCCAAACTTTTGGCCGAGCAGAGCATTATAGACAGATGCGAAGAGGTCTTTTGGGACGCGCTCATAGGCCTTAGATATATCCTCGAAAAATTGAGCCACTTCCGGAGATGGGGTGCCCTGTCCTAGGGTGTGGCTTGCACTTTGTATGGTGTTGTTAGGCTTGATAGGTAAGCCAGGAAGACGAACTCGTGCTTCCTTGATCTCTTCCTCGGCCAGAATCAACCAACCCTCTCCAGCTTTTCCAGCGCGACCTGTTCGGCCGACTCTGTGGATATATTGATCTCTGTCTGGGGGAAGACCAATTTGAATGACATGGGATACATTGGGGAAATCCATTCCTCTGGCGGTAACATCTGACGAAACAAGGATACCGGTTTGAGCACGACGGAAAGCCTCAGCATTCCTGGTTCGTGTGTCTTGGGTAAGTTTTGAATGGATATCGAATATTGGCACACCGTTGAATCTGTTTCCTAGGGGGGTGTTCTTGATTACGCGGTTGGCAAACTGGACGGTAGCTGTGTTTGAGAAAAAGAGTATTGCCTTAAAAGGAAGGGCATCGGGGTTGTTCTTAGAATTCTTGATTGCCCGATCAGCAATTTCAAGGACGGCTGGGAACCAATTCTCGTAGCCTTTCGCGGCTACAAGGTGTTGCGGAATACGTGCGTGGGTTGGAGTCTCGTCTGGGTTGATGGTTTGAACAAAATCAAAATTATCTGTCTTGACCATACTCTTGGCTAGATGTACAACATCTCGGGGGATAGTCGCAGAGAATAAAAGTGTTTGACGGTCGACTTGGCTAATTGGCGGGAAAAGGTCGACAATGTCGCGGATAGCGTCCGCAAAGCCAACATCTAACATGCGGTCGGCCTCATCCAATACAAATGATTGTATTTTCGGCGCGTCAACCCCAGTACTAGGATCTGATAGGATATCGTGGAGCCTGCCCGGAGTCGCAATGAGTACGTCGCATCCCTCCCGCTGCATCTTGAACATAGCTTCCCTCTTCCTTGTCCCACCAACAGCGGTTTGGACGACAAGTCCGGTGTGTCGCGCTAACTTCCTGGCCTCAACGCCAATCTGCTCTGCTAACTCACGTGTAGGAGATAGAACTATAGCACGGATATCTTTTGAAGAAGCATCTCGGCGGTGTTGCGGGGAAGCAAGACTTGGATCAGCCGCAATGAGACGCTGGAAGACAGGGATAAGGAAGCCTAAGGTCTTGCCTGTTCCTGTCTTTGCTTGTGCCACCCTTTCTACAATTAGTACCAATATAGTAACAATACAACAAGTAATAGATATTGTACTTACAGATCGACTCCCTTGAGAGCTGGGTTGATAGTTAATGACTGGACCTCAGTCATGCTATCATATTTCATGTCCACGGTGATAGCTCGAATGATACGTTCGTCAACACCTAATTTTGCTAGATCTTCAAATCGTGTTGTATTGTATAATGAAGCCGGCGAGTCGTCAGTCTGCGTATTAGCGTAAGCTGCGGCGGACCCTTGAGAGTATAACCGCAGCGCAATTTGTTTCAGAGGGACTAGCTGTCGCTCTCTTTGCGCCAGCCTCTGGCATGATGCTACGACTGGTCGAGAACGAATCTGTTGCGAGACCAAGGTCGAGAGTTGACGACGGGCCAAATTACCCAGGCGGGCATGCCTCTGCAAAGAAGACTTGAGCATTATGGCAGAGTATTGGAATTTTCCTCACAAGAATTAGCAATTGAGGTTGTGAAGGAAGTGTTTCATTTGCACACGACCTTATGGAGGAAGAAATTAAGGCGCGTAGTGGAGGCGACTTGAATGAATTTCTTCAATTCGAAATTTTTTTTCGGCAGGATAAGGCGGAAGACCCACTCAGCCCACTATCAGTTTTCATGTTAAGACAGACAGATAGGCGCGGATAAAGTCTATTCCGCTACGTACCCCGCTTCGGGGGGCACCTGCAGTCCAGCAGTTTTAGCTTTTCGAAATAATAACTCAGAATTATCGGCCCCGAACTTGCCCGATTCACTGAACACCCACGTGTATTTTGAGGCTTAAGTCCGTACATAGTACCTCGCTAATGAAACCATTTTATGAATAGGCTCGTATTCTAAGCAAACAGCATGATGATTTGACGGTGTGTTTAAATACACGAAAATTTGATACTGTATATTTGTTACAAATTTAGGGGCCTAATGGTTAATAGGTAGTTAGTCAGGTACTTGCACATGCTAATACATACCTTATAGCACGAACCATAGGTCGGGCGAGGAAAAATGTGCCTTAGGTACATAATATAGGTAGATATGCAACATTATGTACAGAGTTATGTATGTACTGTATATGTAGTATGTAGATCCGAACTACGGGGACGCTAAGTTGCCCTAGTGCACGTGTTTTCTTCATTATGGGCCAATACATATAAGTGCCTATAAAAATGCAGAAAAGTATTCTTCACATGCTCCATAGAAGTCATTTTGATAGGTACTTTTGCAATAGGTCGGCCTTGACTGCTTCTAACCACAGAGAGGGGAATCTAAGCGTTTAATTATATATTCAGTCAAGATGTGTATTCGAAGCTTTTTCAAACATGTATATCAGTATATGTATATACCCGCGAGGCCGGTGTTGGGTAGGTATATAGGTACATATCATATGTTGGTATATACATGTACCTTCTTGACATGTGGTAGGGTTGCATGTGAAAATCGCTTATCTATCTCCATCTCGAACGACAGCGCCTTTTACATACAAATAGAGAGGTGGGCCTCGTGGTTGAAACAGTGGCGATGCTGCAATGACTACCTAGGCATTAGGGACCTTGCACTGAATATACATATATCTTCCCTGACACTCCCGTCCTACGTGGACATGGGTGCATACCTCCCTACCTACATAAGTAAACGTTAAGTCTAGCCTGGATTTTGTGCAAGGGGTAACACAGGCCTCTGCCGCATAAATTCAGCTTTCTTTCAAGCTTAGCTTAACTTCGATTGCTATATTTATTTTCATTTAACAGGCATTTTTATTTGACTATAATGATCGAAGAACCAAATTGGACTTAGAATCCTCAATATTATAGAACCCGAGAAGGTAAAGACGGGGAAGAGGCAGATAGAGACACCATGATGGAGCAGAATATATCCATAGTAGTGTTCAACATGCTACCGACGTCAGTCCAGTCTCGATTACCGGCTCTTCAGTCACTCCGCCGGTCTACAAGCCGGTATATCTTACCCTCTCGGCGGCGTTCTATAACATCTCAGGACGATATAGAACCTGTGGTCATCGCAAGAAGAGATGCGAATGCAATCGTTGAGTTACAAACATGCGCCACAGCAGCAGGTGTCGCCAACAATAGACTCGTGGAGGACAAACCAAAGCCTTCCGGCCCTGATAGTCGTGTTATGAACACAAGCTCAGGCGTGAAGTGGAGATATGCTAGGCAAGGTATGAGTGCTCCTATCCCGTCTTCAGAGAAAGCGTAGGTTATTTATTATTGTCTAGGTTCTTTTTTGCAGCAGTCGGCTTCCCAAGAAACGGCAGACCTAATATTCGCGAGGAAATCGTATATCGACGGCGTTGCATATATGCTCAGGGCCCTCCCAGACGACATGGACGAGTACGAGGTTAGCATCATTCACCGAGCACTACCGAAGTCGTGCGCGCAGCTAGACGTGAATGGTCAGATCAAGGGCGGTTTAGGTAGATCCGGTTGGCGGCCGTCTGATAGAGCAAAGACCTTTCTCCACTCGGCGGTTCAAGGATTCGTTACAGGCCTTGTTATCTTTGTCTACCTACTCTTGTCCTTCTTTGCGATTGTTATCCGCACCGGGGCATACTACGAGCGCCAGTACAGCATCTCACAGCACATCATCTCTAGTAGCTTCGTTTTCGCTACTACCCTTGGGAAGCAGAGTGGAGCTTTGAGTGAGAAGAGTACGTTGCCCATCTCCTTTCTTGTTCTGCTACCCCCTGTTCTCAAAACGTAGCCGTGGACTTCGGAACATCTTCTAGGGTTATAAGGTTGTGAGGCAGATGCCAAGATCTAGAGTCACCGCTAAGGTTTTCCGCAACTGTTAATCGCTAACACGGAATATTTAGTCTCTGCCATAAGTGAAGGCAAATTTGGGAAGGTAATGTCTGATCTTGCCGCGTGGACTATAGAGGGCGTTGCTGGAGGCGTTCAAGATGGCATCGGACAGGGTCTACAATTGATCGAGCAGAGACAGAAATGAGACACATGACATAACGGTTCTTTGCATTGCTTAATGGCTTGGCTTGGCGTACATATGGGAGATAGAGCGGGATTTTCTCCTCTTCGTTTGGCATTATAGAATCTGCATATAGTTGCATTGGAAATACGGGGATAAATCTGGTTAGACAATGGGTTGGTAAAGATATTCGCGGAACTGCTCTTCGCTTGATGATACCGATATTCGGAGTTGTTATATTATTACGCTTGATTTGATTCAAGGCCTATAGCATTGTCTTAGACCAAGGTATGCTTTACATATACTTCAACTATGATATACAAAGCATTCCCAACTTGAGGGTTGAATTCGAGATATACAGCCCGCCTCCCCAAACGGCGATCGAGACCCTAGGTTACTAGTCCAACCCCGTAGGCCAATGTTTATTTTATTGCTGGGTGTTTCCGGCAGATTTCTCTGCTGCGATTTTGGCTTCCATCCTCCTTCTTGCCGCTAAAATCATCTCGTCTCGCCTTCGTTGTAGGGATGCCTGTCGCTCATTCCGGTTGGAGCTCCATGCCTTAGGTTTTGTGCAGGATTCGGGCTCGCTGCTGGTGCTAACTTTATCTTGTAGTTTATATCTAGTAATCAAATCTGGCTCGGCAGGCTTTGGAGGCGCCTTGAAAGGTTGTGTCTGTGTCGCCGAGGGGTTGGGAGAAGTCGGAGGAGGTGGTGGCTGGAATGTAATAGGGGGCTAAACAAAAACGCGATGTTAGTTAATATGGATTAGATTATCACGGTTAGGAATACGGCGGTGAAGGGTCGCGCTCGCAAATAATGTTGGACTCACGGTCTCTATGCGTCCTGCTAATATCCGTTCCGTAGTTGCCGCTATGTTCCCCCCATTGCGATGCAAATCCCACAAGATAGTCCTCCGATCGACTCGATCTGGTCCAAAGATTTGTTGTATCCTTTCTACTGCGGCCTCTCTAGCGCGCGATACCGCCTGGGCATCTCGGAGTGGTCGCGAGGGTTGGGCTGGCGACGAAAAGAATAGATATCGAATGATGAGGCCGCCAAGGACAATTATGAAGATTAGGGAAGTGAGTGACACTTGTTCGTCTGCCATTTCTGTAGCCTCTGCTACGCAGGTAGCGTTTCCCACCTAAATATTCTGACCTCACGAGACTTATAGACGAAGACACCTGACCTAAATCAATGAACTTTGGCTTGAGGACTAAATGACGTCCAGTGGTCAACTTATTACTTATTATTTGTCGCGTGCAGATTTTATGTAGTTAGCAGGTGGATATTATCGGAGAGAGTAACTACTATGTACCTAGGTAGCCTATGAGGTAGGTACCTAGATTTAGCGGGCTTATCGATTCTAACAAGTACCTGAGTATTTGTGTATCCGTAACATTCAGGCCGATCACTGCAACCGGTCATGTACCTGAGTACTTTTGGATAGTATTGAACCTTTAGGTACATAGGTACATACCTATGACGCCTAGCTTGTCAAATCACACACGTGGTTAGAAAACTAAGACAAATACCTACTACGTGGAAGATACGTGGAATAAATGAGCGAATAGCACATTCAGAGAGGAAAAGAATTGATGAGGAAAGGGAGAAGAAAAAAAGAAAGAAAGAAAAAAAAAAAAAACCACCTAATTTACGAAGGCTCAAGGTACAAACTAATCATATGGCCTTCCAATGGGGTTCATCTTATAAGCAAAGGAGAATATTTTAATTACACGCATGTACCTATGATATGTATGCTACGCCAATATGAATTACGGACCTATGGAACTTAAAGTAATGGAAATAACCCGGTTGTCTTCTTCACAGCCCTAGGCAAGCCAGTGGCAGTAATGAAAACAAATTCGCGTCACCTGGAGGCAGTGTAATACCAGGGACACAGTAGGAGCGATCATGCGCAAGCACAGAGGATGCGCTCCTTCGGTACAAAAATAAGAATAATCACGATTGAGTCCAGTAGGACTCTTTCAGAGATTAAACTGAAAAGAACAGATACTACACTTGATCTAAGCCAAAAGGCAAAGAGAGCTGAAGAAGAAAAGAAAAAGAAAACTTTGGGAAGAGGAACGGCAAGAATTTTATAGATGAAGGGGGGAGGGAGGATAGTGGGGCTACATAGTTCTGCCACTATTCACCGCCTTGGAAAATGGTCTGTGCACCTAACTAAATCTCTAGGTAGCAATCAGGGCTGAACCAACTGAAAAACCCCACATAAGGAATCAGCAGCCAATGACAGCCTGTGCCTTCCAATTTGTTTTTGTTGACCTTAATCGCGTCGGCAACGGCTTTCAAAGTGGCTTAAATGCAGAAAATAGTTTTAGGCAACGCTAGATAAGTACCTAAGACAACAACGCCGGAATTTATATGCGGAACCCGTCGCATTCGTCAATATGAGGGTAACGGAGGTGATTATAGATGTACGTATGCTCCAATGTAGTATAGCTATCTCTACCGATACATTGGATACTGATATATTGGAAAGGGCTTCAAATCCTACGCCGTTCGAACAGTCATATCGGGATGGTTAGTAAATAATGATTACCCCTTACGTCGCATAACTAAAATTCATGTCGCAAAGGGACGAGAGCTTCAACTCGATTACCGGCTTGAACGGTAGTGGCAAGTCCAATATTCTGGACGCCATCTGCTTCGTTCTCGGTATTACGAGCATGTCGACGGTGCGAGCCCAAAATATACAGGTACGAAATGAAGATACACCCTAATCTATAATCTTACAAGGCCTGCCTATCTGACTATCGAGTATAGGATCTAATCTACAAGCGCGGTCAAGCCGGTGTCACGAAAGCCAGCGTCACGATCGTGTTCGACAACATGGATAAACAAAAGTCGCCAATTGGATTTGAAGAGTATGCGACCATCAGCGTCACTAGACAGATCGTCCTAGGAGGTACCTCGAAGTATCTAATAAATGGACACCGAGCACAACAACAGACAGTTCAAAACCTCTTTCAATCGGTACAGCTGAACATAAACAATCCCAACTTCCTTATCATGCAAGGTCGAATCACCAAGGTGCTGAACATGAAGGCGGTCGAGATATTAGCTATGATCGAGGAAGCAGCCGGCACAAGGATGTTTGAGGACCGAAGAGATAAGGCGTTAAAAACTATGGCAAAAAAGGAAATGAAACTTCAAGAGATTACCGAGCTCTTGCGTGACGAAATTGAGCCTAAGCTTGAGAAGTTACGGACCGAGAAGAGAGCATTCCTAGATTTCCAACAAACACAAAATGACTTGGAGCGTTTAACGAGAGTAGTTGTCGCACACGATTACCTCAAGTACCAGGAGAGACTGGAGCAATCTGCGACTGACCTGGAGAATAAGAAGCAACGACAGAAATATCTTGAAGATTCCGCGGCTAGGCTAAAGAGCGAGATATCCCACCTTGAAGAAGATGTAAAGAGAGTGAAAGCGGAAAGGGACAAAGAGCTGAGAAAGGGAGGAAAAGCCCAAGCGTTAGAAGATCAAGTCAAGAAGCACTCTAACGAGCTAGTTCGGCTCGCCACGGTCATAGACCTAAAGAAGTCCAGTAAAGCCGAGGAAGAAGAGAAGATGACTGCGGTGCAGAAGAACGTTGCTGAACTAGAGGCGGCCTTGAAGGAGAAAACAAAAGCTTATGAGAAAACTAAGGCCAGGTACGACGAGGCGAAAGAAGCAAACGAGAAGCAGAGCCAGGAGGCGGAATCGAAAGAAGAATTGCTTCAGACTTTACAAACAGGTGTTGCATCCAAGGAAGGACAAGAAAGCGGCTACCAAGGTCAACTGCAAGATGCGAGGAATCGGGTAGCAGCGGCAGCTACTGAGCAGGAGCAAGCCAAAATTAAAATAGCCCATCTTGAGAAACGAATCAAGGAGGAAGAGCCCCGAGCTAAAAAGGCTGAAGAGCAAAACGCCGGCTTGTTGAAAGAGCTAGATGGCCTCAAGATCCAGTCGCAGAAGCTACAGGCTCAACTTGCGAAGCTCGGTTTTGAGCCGGGACAAGAGGAAGAGATGTACAAGCAAGAGTCGTCATTGCAGCAGACCATCAGGGGCTTACGTCAAGAGGCAGACGTCCTAAAGCGCAAGGTTGCTAACATTGATTTCAACTATGCTGACCCAACTCCCAATTTCGATCGCTCGAAAGTCAAGGGGCTGGTCGCCCAATTATTCGCCCTTGACAAAGAGCATACCAGAGCCGGCACGGCTTTAGAGATATGCGCCGGCGGTCATCTGTATAATGTTGTTGTAGACAACGAAGTTACGGGTACACAATTATTACGGGGCGGCAAACTACGGAAGAGAGTTACCTTTATTCCGCTAAACAAGATCGTAAGATTCAAAGCATCGGCGCAGGCAATCGCTACGGCTCAAAGCATTGCGCCCGGTAAGGTCGATCTAGCTCTATCGCTCGTAGGGTATGATGACGAGGTGTCTGCAGCAATGGAGTACGTCTTTGGAAATACTTTAATTTGCCAGGACGCCGAGACAGCTAAGAGGGTTACTTTCGATCCTAATGTAAAGACGAGGAGTATTACTCTTGAAGGCGATGCGTACGACCCTTCGGGAACGCTCTCGGGCGGCAGTGCGCCTAACTCCAGTGGTGTATTGATCACATTGCAGAAGCTAAACGAGATCAACCGTCAACTTAAAGAAGCAGAGCGTTCTCTGCATGGTATCCAGACCAGGATCTCGCAGGAAAAGTCTAAACTCGACCAGGCTCGCAAGATTAAGCAGGATCTTGATCTTAAGACACACGAAATCAAACTCGCGGAAGAGCAAATTAGTGGCAACTCTTCATCGTCAATCATCCAGGAGGTAGAGAATATGAAGGAGACCATCATACAACTCAAGGGCGAGAGTGCTGAAGCTAAGAAGAGGCAGGCCGAGGCCAGCGCAGATGTCAAGAGGATAGAGAAGGATATGAAGGATTTTGAAAACAACAAGGACTCTAAACTTGTAGAACTTCAAGCTTCTCTAGACAGGTTGCGGGCGACGTTGGCTAAGAATTCGAGCACCGTCAAGACTTTACAGAAAGAGCTTCAAGGTGCTCAGCTAGATTCGGAACAAGTTTCAAGTGATCTCGCTGCTGCAAGGGAGCAGCTACAAGAAGTTGAGTTGGCTATCAAGTCACAGCAGGAGGAGATTGAGGATCTTATCAAGAAGCAGTCACAGTTACAAGAGGCTCACGATCTCGCACAATCACAGCTCGACGACGAAAGGGCCAAATTGACCGGGTTTGATGATGAGCTGCATGCGCTTGAAGAGGCAATCCGGTCAAAGAATAGTCGGATTGCCGAAGAAGGTCTCGAAAAGCAAAAGCTTGGCCACACAGTTGACAAATCCCACAAGGAACAGCAACATGCGATACAAGCCGTGACGAACATGGAGAAGGAGTTTGATTGGATTGCCGAAGAGAAGGACAACTTTGGCCGCACGGGGACACCGTACGACTTCAAGGGCCAAAACATCACGGAGTGCAAAGCCACGCTAAAGACGCTCACGGACCGTTTCCAGGGCATGAAGAAGAAGATCAATCCCAAAGTCATGAACATGATCGATAGCGTCGAGAAGAAGGAGGTGGCGCTTAAGCAGATGATGAAGACGGTCATCCGTGATAAGCGTAAGATCGAGGAAACTATCTTCAGCCTCGACGACTACAAGAAGAAAGCCCTCCTCCAGACCTGGGAGAAGGTCAACGGCGACTTCGGCCAGATATTCTCCGAGCTATTGCCCGGTGGCAGCTTCGCGAAGCTAGACCCGCCCGAGGGCAAGACTATCAACGAGGGTCTAGAGGTCAAGGTCTGCTTAGGCAAGGTGTGGAAGCAGAGCTTAACAGAGCTAAGTGGTGGTCAACGGTAAGTCCTCATGCGCTTTCCTTCGTGACTCTTCTCAATTTATAACTATCTGCCTTTTATCTATCACATCATTCACGCCGCTAACCATAACAACAAATAGATCGCTCGTGGCACTCTCGCTTATCATGGCACTGCTGCAGTTCAAGCCAGCGCCCATGTACATCTTAGACGAGGTGGATGCGGCGCTGGACCTGTCGCACACGCAGAATATCGGCCGTCTCATCAAGACACGCTTCAAGGGCTCCCAGTTCATCGTTGTCTCCCTCAAGGACGGCATGTTCCAGAACGCAAACCGCATCTTCCGCACCCGATTCAGCGGTAATACGAGTATGGTACAGGCCCTTACGGCCGCGGACTTCAAGTAGATGAAAACGGATGAATGGATGATATACCGCGCCCGTATGGTTTACGATCAACGGTGGATAAGCCGTTATATCTTGAGCATTTTTCTGCGTTTAATAAATTATGTGACTAGATTCTCATCAAATTTTTCCAATTGCGTGCCGAAGTGTCTATTCTGTCTAATTTATCTATTATCTGGCTATAGTTCTGGCGGTCGTGTTTATTATGGGTCTTCCTTCCTGCCTGATGTTACAGTCGTCTTTTCTCACAGCCTGGCACTTCCTACTTCCTCTTTTCTTTATACACCTCCTACTCATATATATATATATATATATACACACAAGCATATTTATCGTCTAAACGGTATAGGAGGAAGTAAAGGCGTCTCACTGTTTGATATACACATGGTCCCCCCTTTGCTCAACCTCAACCGTCATGCCGACTGCGATCCAGGCTTCACGATCTTCTCCCAAGCTGGGGTCGAATAGAGGAGTGAGTTGCATGCCTAGACAACCATTTAGCGGCGCACCCTCGTCGACTGCCCGCTTCGCCCTGAGTGATTTGTCTGGCTCAGTTGGGTGGCGGAGACCAGTTGCTGGATCTACGTTGGGCATTTTACATCTGGCGTATGGTTAGAAAACACATGAGCGGTAAGAGATGATGAAGGGATTATTCACTAACCTGACAGTTCTGGACGAAACGTGGAACGCGGCGTCGTTATATAAGCCTGAGCTCCCCGGCTTAAGCCGGATCTGTTTCCAAGTCTCTTCGTCGTAGGCTTCGGTACCGGAAACTAAAGGTGCGTATGTTAGAGAGCCGCAGAACGCATCTAAGTAAATATTCTCTACTCACGGATGATATTAGGCCGGAATCTAAGCACATCGAGCTCCTTTAGGTCGTCATCCTTCGGTACCTCTGAGCTGAACGCTTGTAGGCTATTTAGGCTCATCAAATGAAGTGGGAACTATACTTAGTGTTAGTTTTATATTAGAGGTCCGTAGGTTTAGATAAGTGGGTGTCATACGGCATCCTGGAATCCGGTCACGGGCTGGTAGCCGGCTTCCTCTTTGCTCGGTGCGGTTCGATAAACCTCACGTAGCTGTCCAGGATCGACCCTGAACAGAGCAAGCTTGTTGCTGACACCTAAGTACCGCTGTAGCTCACCGGGTAGATCATTTTCCATGTTAAGGGCGTTGATCGTCTCTTTCCATATCTTGACATCGTCGAAAGTGTAGCCCCTCTCCTTGATATCCTCTGTTGAAGGAAAGTCTACTGGTAGTAGGATCTCTATTTCGGGCTCAGCGGCGCGCCCTCTTGCTAGCTTAGCTGTGATCGTAGAATAGATACCGCGCCAGCCATCTTCCTTCCAAGGGAAACGTAGGATTATGAAGGCCTCCTTTGACTTCATTGACTGTTTCCGCAGCTTCATCTCATCTGGCAGCCAGAGATCGACGGTAACATTTGCCAGCCTCGAGAACTGCCGCTGGGTAACAAATTCCCACTTGTGCTTTGACTTTTCCTCATCCGTCGAGTTCACAGCCACAGGAAAAGGACTCTTGAGTTGAGCAAACATGAAAAGACGATCAAACTGGAGTCCCGTCGGGAAGACTTTGCTCCTCTTCAGCTCAATACCCTTGCATGACTTCACTGGATAAACGACTAAACTGTGGACCTTGGGTGGCTGGCCGTCCTGCGGCGCATGTTCAGCTGAGTACTGGTTCTCCAGGTTACTCTTTGAACCTTCAACGCCGGCCTTTGTGTGCGTCTGTACCAGCGCATCACTCTTTTGGAGCCCAACTGGGGGCAGAATTATAACCACCGGTATCAAGAAAGCACAGATGGTAACGGTTAAGAGGAATATAGCGCCGCTGTCTAGATTGAGGGCTTTCAGCCAAGAATGGTTACCTATATCCATGGTGGTGTCCATGATGGTGCGTTGAAATTACTAGTAGCAATTGAGATGGAAATTCTACGGCACTGCTCGGCCAGCAAGCGTTCTCGATTTCTCTCGATTTCCGAAACTATATTACGGAAGGGAAAAGAAAGAAAGAAGTGAAAAATAAAAAGAGAAAGAAATATAATCGATATATCGATATGAGCAGAGGGTGATCCTCGGGCTCCCGAAACTGAAACTGAAGCTTAAAGAAAAGAGTGCGTTGAGTGAGATTACGTGTTGTATTTCTCGACGAAACATCTTGAGACGTTGAAGAGGGAAATCGGCTCATTGAGACGTGTCACGTGGAGAGGCACGTGCTTTTTATTTTCGTTTTTACTTGCATGTAGGTTAGGTAGCTTACCTAATGCACTATAAACTTATAGCCAAAAAAGGTATACAGGGTACCTAGTGACACAGCTGAAGTTATCAAACTAAACCAAATCATCTTTAGCAGGGCTAGTCTCCGGATTTAATAAATAATAAATTTAGCACGGATCTTGAAAATCTCTTTAGTCAAATCTCCTTAGTCACTGATGCTACAGAATGTTCATGAGATACATACGAAATCGGACGTAGGGAACATGTTCTCTCACTTTTCATCAACATGAGCCAATCATCTACATTGCGGTCACTGGATGAGGGAATTCATATATGGAATTGATTGACATGGGAGCATTGCATTGTAACAGTAATGAAGGCAGTTGGGGCATCGTGGTATTCGTGGCGTGGATGCTCATGACAACCTCACCCCCAAATGTATGATAACTATATTAAATCGAACAAGGCGGACGGTCGATCCGGCATTTACCAGATTGCGAGTGCTTTTAATAGTCTTGGGTAGACTAATCAGTAACAGTCTATACAGCTCATAATATAGTTCCTCATGAATTTGCGTTGTGAAAAAGACGATGGTGTTGCCCACGCAATGATGTGAGGGTAGCACTGGATGACACCCAGACATCCTCTAAGTGACGTACTCATCAAGTAGGGTTGGTGGAAATAACCAAACCCGAAATCGACGCAGAAAGATCGTCATAAACCCGAATAGCCACCGGTAAGATTTCACTGTTATCCTAACGGTTAAACAACTCAAACCACGTAGGACCTATCAGTCGATGAACGAATCTGACTTTGGTGTAAGTCGTAGCTAGTTGAATTCGATAAAGTACGAGTCTACAAGCTATGTAAGTGGTTATGTATGTGTTGGATGAAAAGCAAGATGGCAACTATAACCGCGGATGCATTCCGGATGCAGTGAAAGCCCGAGACCTGGGCATGTCGGAGTCGAACTACCGCAATCGGATGCAACCATGACTTGTCGCCCATGGCCCCTGACTCGGAGATATCGGGAGAGAAACTGGCCAACTAATGCAAGGTACCAGACACGTTGACTGGGTAGGAAATAGGGGCACGTGTGGGTAAGCTTGCTGGCTTGTCGAGCAAAGTTCCAATTCCGTCAAGATCCTCACCGCCGGCGAATATTATTATCGGCAGGCGCGTGGCGTAGGTAAGAAGGAGCTTGTACGCATAGCCAAAATTTTTGACTGATCGTTTTCGAGGCACATGCAAACAAAGCTAGTTTCATAGCCGCGTCAGTAGTCTTTTGCATGAGCTTACTGTAGAAGTAGTGACGATCTGCGACGAAGCTCTCCTCCAGATCGCACATAACGATCCATTCTGGGTAGGTTGTTTAGGACCGGCTTGAATTTAGACCAGTGATAGCCAGACTGCGAATGTGAACTTATCAAGAACACGTTGTTAAACTCCCCCACTGAGAAGATGATGGCGGAATTCTGATCCCGCGGAATAGCTGATATTCTCCACATCTTTCCTTGGGGGTACTATGTATGTCAGTATATCCTGTCGAGGATGGTTAGAATACATACATAGGTAGTTCTGGTGTTGCATGGTGCCTAGTAAAGCGGCCTATGTATCTCCCGGGGTTACATCCATCGATCTTCTATCACCTATCACCTCATATACCTTAGGTACTTACATACACATCATATCCAAACTAGAAGCGGAGTATCACTTCGTAGAGCCAATGAAATCGCCTGAACTTATAGCATTACAAATAGCATCGAGCCAGCTGAAAGCTACTATAGAGTAGTAGCCCTAACTAGACTTCTGGAAGCTTGAGATATATACGTAGGTTAGTTGAAGCTGCACGTAGATCCATACGTTATCGGGAATAGAGGCTATATGAATTAAGCCAGCCAGCTACTTCGCGGAGACTCTTTATGTAGCTACTCCACAACATGTATCGTTGCATGGATGATCTTTACTACTTACTTAGTCCGTATTGTTACTTTTGAATCTTCAGACAAACTAACCTAGAAGATCAAGGTCATTAACACCTTATGTAAAAGTAGGTGCTACACGACTCAATTTACACCTCGACGAAAGAGATACATACTGTGCGTACGATACGGATACGCTTTGTCTTCAAGATGTATGTAGTTCACCTCGATGAAGGAGGTTCTGATGAATCCAGGGGCCACCTGTCCTACAAGACCCGTTTTGCTACACACGGTCTTCAGCAAGGTACTATGTATGTATGCACGTAGATATATTAGGTAGATGCGTTGTGCATAGGTGATTGAGAATTCCTGGGGGTTAAGCCATCGCGTCAAATTTGAGAGGCCCTTAATTCGGGAACTGTGGCTTCGTTGCATAAACTATTGATATTAGGACAATGTCGATTTGTTAATAAGCAACGGTCCCATAGAGTCGGGAAATTCAATTACTCCTTTTGGAGCCGCCCAGCCGCCCCAGCCCTAGCAGCATGATCAAATAATAGTTATCCCCCCTCCCCAGTGATGTGCCTTAATCGTCATTCGGCGGCCAAAGCTACGAGAGCCGAACAGGGGTTCCGTTTCCGTGGTTCGGCCGGGAATGCCAAATCTAGCTTTTATTGTAATGTGTCTAATTCAATACTTACCCTATGTAGGTTGCTCTACTACCATTGTCACTTTTATCACAAATTGCTAGCATCAGAGAGGGTTTACCCCCCGACCATTTTCTAAATACGATTTCCGTTGGTGTTTCATCTCCTTTATTGAAGCTGCTTTGAGAATTGAGTTACGAGATTATCAGTTCGGTACTATCTACATATGGACATATTGTGAGATATGACTAAATCTCAATACTATGCACGCTTGCACAAGGGAACGACGACTAGTCAAATAAGGCTCTGCGGATTCGTAACATGGGTCTCCCGTCGATGGTGTCAAGCACAAGCATGGGGGTCCAAGACAATCTGGTCGATGAATACTCGTACGATTGTAATTTCAACTGCGCGGAGAGGTAGGTCATAACGAGCCGCGCTATATATTAAACCAACATATAAAGTGATAATCATACAAACTATTATATTAGCGCCCTAGCGCCGCATCGAAGTGTTCCAGCATCGGACTCGCTGCTAGGCTCTTGGACAGTTGGGGTGGAGAATATTCGGGAGCTTTGAGCCATGAAGTATGCATATCTATATGTACATACCTACCTAGGTATGTATGTAGAGGCTGGGAATATTAAGATGATGCTTATTACGTTCCTTGGTCATATAAGTAGTGTATTATAGACCAACCGCGCGGGCAAGCCATGCGGAGCGGTAAAGGCATTTACACACCCTTGATCTATACGATTGCGAAAAAATATGAAAAAATGATACTCGGGGCTGATATAGCGATTTGATTGATCCGTTAAAGTACCTATAAAGGTACTGCACATGGGATATATTACATCTGTGATATTTCCAAGACCGGATTTAGAGAAGGCAAAACCGGTATTAGCTTACCGACCAAGTTTGCAACTCACCTTACCTACCTATGTTAGGTACATGGCCGTTCATCGGGAAGTGAACCTGGTTAGATTGGTACGCTGATGCTATTCGTCATCAGCGTTGGTGTTCGTTAGATACCTACCCATGCTCACGAACTGCAATACCTAGAAAGAGGTACGTACTGTATGTACTATGTAGCTGACAAGGGCTTGTTACCTTAGGTAGGTACATATGTACCTAGATGCATAGGTAGGTACCTACATCCTACCTACATACATATGTACCTACCTAGGTAGTGGACCTTACCTATGTAGGTACATAATGCTAGCTCATGTGTACAATACGTCACTACATCTATATTTCTGCAAGACCTCTGTATGATACTACATACCTAGTGTACGAGACACTTTTGCAATCAAGGTTAAAAGTAACCGATTACATCAAATGGATGTGAGTACATACTTCTTTTGAGGAAATTATCTGATGGCGGCGCTACCCTTGTAACACAAGAGGTTCCCGTCGTGCTACTATGCCGGAAATCCGGGACAGAGCCAGTTCTGATAACGGAGAGTGGATAGCGGATAGCGGATGCAACGCGATGATGGGTCCACCATCACCACCACTCTCACATTACGATTACGAAAGGAACATTCTGAACACCTACATACATAGAGCCCATTACATATAGGCCCTGTTTACTTCGAAAATGGAAAATGATGCCAGTGAAGCATATAAACATATCTCATCTCACATCACCACCATCGATCAAACCGCAGCCTATCAATGCCGCAAAATCCACCCATTAAACGCCGGCCTAACTACTTAAATCAGTTTAATTAATTCCGGCAATCGCGTTATTTATGAGCCTCGTTCTCATATTTACACTGTCAGGCCTCCTGGTGTACATTTCTGTATTGGATTGCTACATGTAGTTCCAATACTATGGTTTGTACTTCAGGTTCGTCCACCGTGATGAGTCCCTGATGATCCTTGAAATGTAGGGGTACCTGTCATAGCGGATCCAATCAGCCAAAATTGATGGTTTGCAGTAACGCTGGTGCGGCCCCAAAGACTCATTCAGCACCGTTCCTTTTTTTTTTTTTTTTTTTTTTTTTTTGCAGCCAGCGTAGCATCCAACCGTCCAGGGCCCCAAAAAAAAGGGCTTTTACCTGGGCTAAATGGACCGGGCCTACAGCTTCGACGGAGACGGACTTCAACTAGTTTAGGTCTCGTTGCCTACACTACACGCGTAGCTAGGGCTTCCTCTGAAAAAATTTAAACAAAAAAAAAAGCTTCAAGAGGCATGTCGATCAATATATAGTACGAATTTTATAATTATCCCGCTGAGCTTAGCTACATACCAGCTACCCCCAGAGTATGCGAACAAGATCTTAAACGCCCTGCAAATATACATATACTACGGCATACTTATACAGTATAAGCACATCCTACAGTAATCTAGCATTAGCACATGCTGCTAGGTTAGTCGGTTTCTTGGAAATTTTACAGATATGAAATGCGGCGCGTTATGGTACAAGCAGGGTACTAATAGCTGAAAGCACAGATGCCTCGGACTCCCTCATTCGTCTCATGTGCATTATGAGATCAACAGATCGAGTACCTTTCACTAGCCGCCGTTGATCAAACCCGCTTGGTAGGATCTTGAGCAAGTCTTTAACCCCCAGCGTGTGCGCCCCAGTTCCCCGCTGCCTGGTTCGCTGGGTGGCCCCATGACTGTGGATGAAGGACCCTTGTCTTAAGAACCTGCCGTGACCTTATCTCGTCTTTGTATTGTTTGTAAAACGGCCGGCGGCAGCAAGATCTCTAACCTCCCGCCCCGAATTTACACGATAATAGGTACTTTTGTACGCTGCGGTTTTTACGGTAGCTAGCTAGACGTTTAGGTATGTATCTCTATGCGTTGAATTAGCCCGGTAGGAAGCACGGGCAAATATCAGATGGCTGCGTGTCATCGGTTCCTCTCCCTGACATCCCGACTCCCACTCACCCAGTAGCAGCATCTTTCTAGCTCAGGGGACCCCCCTGTTTTAGCACCAACCGGATAGCAACGATCCTTATTGCGTACTGTATGCACTCAATTACTACGCTTCGTACCAGTATAGTGGGTTAAGGCTGGTCGATTTACCCACGCATTTATTGCAAAAGACAAATTCACTTGATCGTAGTCTCCTGCGGACGGTAAACTCCTTCAACCGATTCCAAAATAGTATCTCGAGCCATCGTCTACGGGGCTACCTCTATAACTCTGAAATTTTACAATATCAAACCGGATAGGTGTTACCTTTCCTCAACGCAACATTTGCCCTCTTTAGGTAGAATATATGCAGATATCCATCCCTAAGCTCCCGTCCCTTCTAGTCCCAACATACATACTTCCGAA